GAGACTATCTTTTCTCCATTTTATGTTTTTGCCTCCTTTGTCATAGATTAATTGACCATATAAATGAGAGTTTATTTTTGACTGCCTATTCGGTTCCATTGACCTATGTGCCTGTTTGTGTACCAATACCATACTGTTTTGATTTTTATGGCCTTGTAGTATAGTTTGAAATCAGAGAGACTGATAATACCGCTTTCTTCTTTCTCAGTATTGCTTTGGCTCTGCGTGGTATTTTGTGGTTCTATATACATTTTAGGATTGTTCGTTGTAGTTCTGAGAAGAATGCCACGTATTTTGATAGGGATTGCATTGAATCTGTACATTATTTTAGGACACTTGAAAGATATTAATCCTTCTAGTCCATGAGCATGATATAGCCTTCTGTTTTTGAGTGTTCTCTTCAATTTCTTCAATGTTTTATAGATTTTAGAGTATAGGCCTTTACCTCCTTGGTTAAACTTATTCCTAGGTATTTTATTCTTTCTGATGCACTTATAAATGGGATTGTTGTCTTAATTTCTTCTTCTGGCCATTTGTTATTACTATATAGAAAAGCGACGATTTTTGGATATTGATTTTGTATCCTGCTACTCTACTAAATTCGTTTATTAATTCCATTAATTTTTGGTAAAGTCTTTAGGGTTTTCTATCTATAGTATTATATCTGCAAATAGTGACAGTTTTACGTCTTCCTTTCTAATTTTGATGCCTTTTATATCTTTTTCTTGTCTAATTGCTGTGGTTGGACTTCCAATACTATATTGAATAACAGTGATGGGCACCCTTGTCTTGTTCCTGGTCTTAGAGGAGAAGCTTTTAGCTTTTCACCATTAGTATGATATTCGGTGTGGGTTTGTCATATCTGGCCTTTATTATGTTGAGGTAAGTTTCCTCTATATCCACTTTGTTGAGCATTTTTATCATAAATGGATGCTGTATCTTGTCAGATGCTTTTTAATCATCTCTATTGAGATGATTATATGATTTTTATCCTTTTTTTTGTTGATGTAATCTATAATATTAATTGTTTGCAGATATTGAGCAGTCCTTGCATCCTGGGGATAAATCTCACTTGATCATAGTATATAATCTTTCTAATATATTATTGAATTCAGTTTGCTAGTATTTTGGTGAGAATTTTCTCATCTATTTATCAGGGATATTGGCCTGTAATTTTCTTTTTCTTTTTTTGTAGTGTCTTTGGTTTTGGTGTCAGGGTAATGCTGGCCTTGCAGAATGAATTAGGAAGTGTTTCTTCCTCTTCAATTTTTTGTAATAGTTTGAGAAGGATTGGTATTAATTCTTCTTTAAATGTTTGGTAGAATTTACCAGTGAAGCTGTCTGGTCCTGGACTTTTGTTTCTTGGAGCTCTTTTTAATAGTACTTCAATTTCATTGCTAATAATTGGCCTGTTCAGATATTCTCTTTTTTCCTGGTTCAGTCTTGGAAGTTTGTATGTTTCTAGAAATATGTCCATTTCTTTTAGGTTGTCCAATTTCTTCGCATATAATTGTTCATAATAATCTTTTGCCATCCTTTGTATTTCTGTGGTATAGGTTGTAACCCCTTTTATTTTTTATTGCAGTTGGTGATTTTATTTTTTAATTTTATTTTTGTTTAAAATATTACAAATGCCCCTTTTTCTCCCCAATGACCCATTCCACCCCGTCCCCTCCCCCTCACCAGTCCCTCTCCCCACCATTGTCCGTGTCCTTGGGTTGTGCGTATATGCATGTAAATTCTTTGGTTACTCTCCCCCCCTCCACCCACCCACCCTCCTCT